GATTGCATCACTATTAGCCAGTGCTTTGTTCATAGTGTTTGTCTGCCATTTTGGTGATCATGCCACTTTTTGTTTTTGTCCTTGTTTTGAAACTTATATGTATGTGTATGTGTGTTCTTAGTCAGAGTAAAGTAATAGGTAAAAGTACATTACTAGCTTGATTCTAATAGATGTACACACGTGCACCACATGCAGTCAGTATATATATTTTTTTTTTATCAATTAGAACACAATATTGGATTTTTTTTTTTCTTTTTTCTTTTTTTTTAGCATTAATCCTAGTTTTTGCCTAACTTTACTTTATATTTTATTATTATTTATTGTTTTAGCCCCCACACAACTTTGAGGTTAATTTTCTGAAGCCACACTAATTTTATAGAAGAGCCATGGACACCTTAAGCCTGTTGCGTGCATCTTTGAGAAGGATCAGGAGATGGAGCCCTGCCAGCTAGTGGGACAGACAGGCAGGAGTCTGTCACAGCCTTCTACAAATTCTTTTGTTACTGCTCGGCCTTTTTTTCATCATTATTTATGTTTATTGTCTTTTTTTTTTTTTTTTTTTTTTTTTTTTTTTTTTCTTTTTACAAAATGCTTTGGACTGTGCATTTGGCCAATGCTATGTGTACTTTTTTTCTGATATGATTGAATTTTTGTACTCCTAAGTGTATGGAGGCACGGCTTTTCATTATGACAATAAACCATAGTTTGTATGTTAACACAGTGATTATCGAATCATTACTAATCACATGAGTCATTTAACTTTAAGTATTAGACACAATTAATAGCCATGATAGGCATTTCTGTGTAAACCAAACCCCAAAGTACAAGTGATTAATCACCAAAGGTAAAAGATTTGTCTTTTAATCATTATTATTTTTTCATAATGCATTGTTGTCTTAGTAATATTAACTGAATATGGCACATCATATATCAAGTACTGTTTTGTTTTTTTACAAATACTTTACTAATAATCCAAAGGGCCCAAAGACTATGATTTTTTTTCTTGATTCTTGAATTCAGAGATAGATGGAAATTAGACATATTTTTAGGTTTTGACACTAAGGAGTAACTGATGTTTGTGTAAATTTGGAAGGGTTGTGAGGAAACTTTATTGGTTTTATTTTAACAAATTCCGGATTTGTACAATACAAAGAGGTATAGAATGTATTTGGTTGTAGTTGATTAAAAGGAATTTGGTATTAGATCTTTCAATCTTAGCCACATGCTGCCAGGGATGGCATGTGTGTACATGCCGTGGCCGTTGTATGTTTGATTATTAATTGTTTTTACACATAGATGGCTCTACAAGTACTGAGACACCAATAAGCCAGACGAGAACTACCTGTCTTACTTGTTTACCATTTTCCGTGATTTTTTATAATATTTTCTGGTATTTAATATTGCTGTTAGTAATGTTAATAACACTATAGTAATTATGATGTTTATCATAAGAATAACAGTATCAATATTGATAGCATTAGTAAAAAAAAAAAAAAAAAAAAAAAAAAAAAAAAAAAAAAAAAAAAAAACATTTTTCCTCTCAAGGAAAGGTGAAATCAGTTGAGGTCATAAATCTCTTAAATGACTCCTTTGTGGCTTAGTACTGGCAGAGCCATCTATGTGAAGTGACTTTTAACAAAACAATATTAGAGTAAACACAACATTTTCAAGAGGGTAGTGGGTTCGAAAAGGCAGATAGTTTTTTATCAGTTCATATTTGTTTATTGTTGCGTTTCTGTAGAAAAGAGACTAAGCACAAAATTGCCTAGGTTCCTTTTGTGAATTTTTGATTGGTAGTCATTTGTCTCGAAAAGATTATAATGAATGCATTGTCAACTATACCTCAGGTTATTAGTCACTATCAGTCCATGATACTACTAGTATTTTGGATACTGATAAAAAGCCCAGTATAAAAGAGGAGTAAAGTTTCAAGTTATTTGAGTATTATATTTGTTAAAGATAAAAACAGAACTAGCTGAAATGATATAGGAATGTACATATTACTTTAAACAAATTAATTGCTATTAGGACAAAGTCAAAACTCAAATTTAGCAACTTTTGAAGTTGTTACCCTCTTTTCAACAAATTTTGTAATGAGTGATATTAATTATTATCATCTTATATATAGGGAATTAAAAACCTTTGACTTTAAGGGGAATGTTTTTAACTCATGCCAACTGAAAGAAACAAAAGAGAAGGAAAAACCTTATGGTTCTTAATTAGCGTGGTGTTCAAGGATATATATATATATATATATATATATATATATATATATATATATATATATATATATATATATATATATATATATATATTATATATATATATATATATATATATATATAATATATATATATATATATATATATATATATATATATATATATATATATATATATACATACATATATATATATACACACACATATATCATGCTAAGTACAGTCTCCTTTGTTTTCCGCACCCACAGCAAAATGTGATATTGCCTGGACCATTTTCTTTTTCTTTTTTTAGGATTAGATTAGATAAAAATGTTCTTGTTTATCTTATAGATCCAAACCTTTTTAAGTCATGACTTTTGATTCCATTCATGTTAATTCAGACAGTAGATGTAATTTTTACTTTGTCCCACATGTTGTCAAGTACACATCTAGCGCAGTTCTCATCATAGGAAAATATTTGATGTATGATTCCACACTTCATATCCATGTCTAATTTAAGAAGGTTTGGTAGATATAAAAGCTTTACAGCAAGCTTTTTATATTATTATTATTATTGTTATTATTATTATTAATTTCACCATCAAATGTAAAGCTTTGTGGGAAAAAAAAATTATTCTTAAAAAGAGTTTAGGTGATAAAGCTTTCCCATGTTTTTATAATGTAATAACAGGAGATGTTGGTGTATTGTTATTAGAGAGTGCATGTAAGAAAGTGTTGTGTGCATAGTTATAGTTTGGGAGTGAATACAATTACCTAAGGGTATAACACAGCCCATCCATTGTAATCGGCCATATCATTTGCAGGTACTTTGAAATGGACGGTTGATTAGGTTCTTGCACATGTTGAAAAGAAGGCATCTTAGATACAAGGAATTGCAAGTGAAGTTCACAAAAGTATTTAGATCTTGAAATAGCATCTAGTCTGAAAGCCATTCATTGCTCACTCAACGACCAAGCTTTTTCTTAGTGAATGGTAGATTGATAGTTGTGACATGATGATTATAAAAAAGATGGGCTTGATTTGTGGAAGTAAATGCAGCTTTTTTCCTATAGACATTGTGTTGTGATATTACTAAAAAATACAAGAACTAATTATCATTTTATATTTATTCAGAAAGATGGTTCAACTTCCACTTTGGTTACAGAACTATGGGTTATTTTTCCAAAAATAGCCATGGGATTTTAGGTAACTAATAATCATTCATATAATGAAGAGTGCAAAAGTACAAAATTAGGCATTAATCCTAAAACATGATTTTGCCCTTTCCCAAAATATTTGAAATGGGAATTCCTACAATATTGAATTTCTTTTGATATACAGTATATTTGAATTTGTATCTTCCCCTCCAAAATATGAAAGATATATTTATACACAGTCAGATGAATATGGTTTAAAACAAACAAATGGTATATCTGCATAATTTTTAAACAGATTTTGGCAGACTTTTTTACTTTCATTATAGAATCTCTGAGGGATCCTTTATATGATTATCCTAGTCTTCCCTCACATTATTTTCTAGCTGACTGTGAAGCCAGTGAAAAGGCCACACTGAAAACTGAAAAGGTGGAATACTGTCTCTGAAAATATTTGTGAGCAAAGAATGATATAGTCTTCATTTTGTACACAGCTGGAATAGGAAAGATAATGCTACTGTTTTCACCTCACTGACATATTTGAAACACTTTTCTATTTTGATTTTCAAACTGAAAGGTGTTTTTACTGATTAAAAAAAGGAAAGAGGCATTAAAGGGTGCTCCATATGCTTATTGCTCATTCCACCCATTCCCAGTAGTCATCAGTAGTTGGAAATTAGAACAAGTGTTCACTCTTGCTGGACCCTTCAGGTGGAAAGTAACTATGTGTCATTTTATGTAATGGGGCAAAGCTGCAGCCACAGAGACGTTTTGTAGTCATGTCTATGATGCCTTTGGGAAGTGGGGTGATGTTTGCTGATTTTTTGTATGAACTTGTGGGAGGGGGGAGAACATTTTTTAAAGATTCAATTTTAAATACTGAAACAAAAATTTGATGCAAAATTTTGAGATTCACATGAGGGGCATTAGAGTAAGAAAATCATGTTCATTTGCTGTGTTTTTCTCAGGGTTTAAAACCAATTCATCCACACAAGTGATAAGAAAGAGAACAGTAAAGATTTTTTTTCTTTTTCTTTTTTTTCACCCAAGACCTGTCTGTTTCTGCAGTCGCACCATAATCTCTGTTTGCACACATTTATCGTAGAGTGATCAGCTTAGGTTTAAGTATCATGTTAGGCTTGGTATTGCACAAATTCATCTCATTTGTTGTCACCTGATACATGGACTGAGATGAGAGTGTTGGCAAGTTTGATTATATGGAGAAATAAATATATTTTGTTTTATGTGTGTATTGTTCTTCTGTTTTTTTTTTTTTTTTCTTTCTTTCTTTTTTTTTCTTTTTTTTTCTTTTTTTTTATTATTAAATCAATGCTGTTGCTAGGAATGTGATTATTTTGTTTGTTTCCTAAAATGCATTTCTTTCTTTCTTTCTTTTTCATCTCCTTTGGTACCATGTTTATGAATAAAGAAGAAGCTGTTTTATTTGTTGTTAGCTGTGTTATGTATAATTTTAGCACATTAAGCAAATGCATAAATATCATCATGTTAGACTGTACCTAGTGAGCAGGTTCAGTGCAATACAGTAAAGAAATTAGGAAATCCTAGATCCTTGGGCAGATTAAGTTCACAGCTTTTGAAGTGTGATGGCTCCATTTGCCTAAGATTTCTTTAGAACAGTTTCAGT